GTATTCTTCCTTGATTATTTTGCCTTGAAAACCCTGTTGAGCTGCATGTTAGTGGCTAGACCAGGCATGCTAAAGTGAGAACAGATTTGTCCTAAATTAAGTAGTAGTTTATATTATATAGGCACAAAATATGCAGATTGAAGAGTGTAAATCAAAACTACCTGTAGATTTTGTTGTGCTTCCTATGTTCAAAGGATTCACTTGCGTACTGTTTTTCCAGAGGAGTACAATTATTTTTAAACTGTAATTGCAGACTGTTACAGTCTCTCCTTCTGCCCCTTTATAACCTAAGAGTCCCTTAGCAGGAAGAAAACACTAACCCAATCTGAAGCATGTTGCGGAGTTTCAATAATTGTGGGGCTCTTTAGAGATTTTAGAGACAAATCTCTTCAGCACGTTTCTGTAATTAAAACTTTCTCCGAGAAACACATTATATAAAATGTCCAACGGGGAAAACTCAGGTCACACAAATGAAAATGATATATCTGTATACAAAACAGAAAGGAGACAAAAAATACAATATGAATAAACAGAGGTGGAGAAGAGATTCACATTGTGTCCCAATGGTAAGGGGTTTTCAAAAGATTCATGTAAATCCATACTGCTATTGTGTAAACCAGAGGAAAGCAATCTCTGGTAAAAGTCAAACACTACCTCTCACTGTCCTCACATTGGCTAGCTTAGCTAGCTAACAGTACATCTGAACTCCCTTGGCGGTGGAGACCACTGTACTGTATATTCTTCCTCTCACTTTTCCAAAAGGCTGATTAGTTCCTTATTCTGAACAGTGTTTACTTCCTCCTTTCACTACTATCGTTCCCTGTTTTTCTACATGTGTTGCACACATGACCACCCGCCCGTCATGGGCAGTACTATGGTGCAGTGGTTAGCTGGGGCACTGGGTTAAGTTCCGGACCCGGGGTGCTAACTGCGTGTACTTCTTCCCGTGTTCGCATGGGTTCTCACAGAATGCTCCAGTTCCTTCCCACCGTCCAAAGACGCTCTGGTAGGTTAATTGGTTTGTGTTTGTGTGTGCCCTGCAATGGACTTGTGTCCCATCCAGTGTGTATTCTGCCTTACGCCACGTACTTACTGGGATGGGCTCCATCTCCCCGTAGCTCCCTGAGCTGGATGAAGCAGTTGGAAAATGGATAGAAGGATGGATATTTTCCATGGCTTGTTAATATTATGAGAAGTATTATGCTTTCCACAGATAATATTTATGGATATTTCTTAATAAAAATATTGTCCTAAACCTTAAATTCTGCTCACATTTTATTCGGTTATCTGAATGTAAAATCCAATTAAATGCCATATTATATTTGATACTTAGATTTTAAATTCATGTAATTTTAACAGCACTTCAGTTACGTTACAATATGTATTAACAGCCCATGTCTCAATAAAACTTGCATTTCTAATTTTCTAATATTTCCCAACAACTGATTAAAACGTTGAATTTTAAATTACTACTGACTACTTCTTACTGTATGTTATAAAGGACATGTAAACTCCAAATAAATTTTAGATGCATAGGAACAATACCCATCCATTTTCTAGCCATTTTATCCTATTCTTGGTCATGGGGAAGCGAGAGGTACGAGGCAGGGTACAATCTGGATGGGACACCAGTCCATTGCAGGGCACACACAGACGCGTTGTCACTCTCATCTAGAGACAGTTTTCCCAGAAGACACCTACTGTACCAGTTTGTTTTTGGACTGTGGAGGAAACCGGAGCACCTGGAGAAAACCCACAAGAACACGGGGAGAACATACAAACTCCATGCAGAATGAACCCCGGGTCTGGAATTGAACCTATGGCCCCAGTGCTAAAAATGGCAGAAATGCTTACCTCTGGTTCACAATGTCACCGAGGAGTAACAAGGCTGATGAAAATATACTGTAGCACATGTGATAAACTACAATATAAAAGCATTGTAATCTGAAGGATAATAATTGGTTTGGGTTGTCATAAAACACCTCCGAAACACATTCTTTTGTATGCTTTCCCAACTTGTCAATTGTCTAAAAACAGTATAACAAAGGATATTTTGTATAAAATATTCCAAAATAAATCATGCTCAAATCTAACACCCTCTTCCCTGCTGCACTAGATATCTAAAAACTGAAACTGCAGATATTCACATTGGCGTTGAGCTTTGCTCACTGGTTGTCAATGTGGTATCTGATCAGAAGAATGAGACTTCACTGCCAAGCCACTGGTCAGAAGTAAGTCTTTCTTACTTCTGCATTGTAGTGTTGGAAAAAATAAAGAGTTAAATATTTTTTCTACAGCTCAAGAAGCTTTTGCAAAATCTCCTTTGCGGTTGTGGTATTTCCAGATTAGAGGAGCTTTACTGTTCAGGTCAAATAGTTGGGGTCATTCAGGGGCTCAATCCTCTGGCACCTCAGCTTGATTACTCCTTTAGCTTAACAAATGACCTCATTCCCCATCTGCTTGAATGAGTGGAGGCTGTGTGCAATTCTGTGGTTACCTTGCTCTTGAAACTGATGAGTAAAATATGCAGTTGGCTTTTTTGTTACCTTCAGTTTGTTTACGTACACATAAGAGTATTGTTGCTATGTTTGCTAGGTTTAAGCAACAGATAATGAAATAAAGCAGCAACAGAATGATTTTAGTCAGTAATTCACCAGATATGAATTTTCATCATATCTAAGATCTTCCAGTCTGTAAAAGTACTACCCTTTTTTCACAGCTAAAAATATTAAACTCAGTGCAACCTAGCGTAGTATAACTCATAAAAGACATTTTAATTCAATATACGCACTCTACATATGCAGTTTATATTGTACTGTATGTCTCCTTTAAAATATAACTGGTCATATATGTTTTAGTATGAAAAGCTTTTTCCTTTAAAAACAAACCTGATTTGAACTTTTACTTCAATGGTATAAAATAATTTGGGGTTTTGTTTTGTATCTTGTTAGTCAAATAATGTGAAAGAAAAAGCAGTTTAGATTAGTTATTCCTGTTATTCCCAATTAATCTACTCCAAACAAGAATAAAGGGCCCAGTTTTGCCCTTTTGATAAATTTGTGTTATGACTTTTCTCTGTTTTCCAAATTTGTTTTGTTGCTGATCATCCTTCTTTCTCCTCTGTGACTGCATGAGCCTAATGTTACTGCCACTGTTGTTTCACCATACTGCTGCCAGAGCTGTTGTGTCATCCTCAGAATAAAGTCATAGTTTTTATTTTTATAGGCCCCCCTCAATGCAAGGACCAGGCTACCCCATAAGTAATGTCTTCTGTATCAAGAGGTGCTACTCTAGAATGTCATCTTGTCTATTCTCATTAAATCTAGTTTAATTATGTATCAACAAATCACATATAATTTTCACCTCCTTCAGCTGCTGTTCCCCAGTTCTTAAGATGCTGTTCATCTTCTCAGTACTTCTCGGTACAACACTTCACACTGTCAGTTTGCACTCTGAGGTTAATTTTTCAGTGATACACCTATATTTATCAAACATTTCTAGTAAGAGGTACTTGAAATACTCTAATCAAGTGTTTGTAAATGTATCAGTTAATTTGTAAAATATATTTCAAATGTATAAGCTCATATATTAAAGCAAGAAGGTTTATTATGTATTAGTATTTTTATTGGTCTGTATATACCACCAAGTTAGGTTAGAACAGTAAAAATAACTAACATATGTAAAATAAAAATAATTTGGTTTAAAATACATTTACATATTTAGAAGCTTGTATATTGTAAGTTATCTACATCATATAATGTCTTGATATACAATACAGAAGCTGAAATACAAAAATAGTCTATTTTTTGTCTTTTTATATTAAAATTATTTTTGATTATTTGAGGCTCGGGCATTGTCAATCCATTTTATGATAGCTGAAGAAATACTGTAAGTGTGGGTTTAAGTGTCTGCAGTACTTTCACAGCTTTCAATGGATCCAACTCCAATAGGCTAATTCCTCTGAATCATTTGTGAATAGATTTCACACTTTTTAATAGAATGTAATAAATGGTGAAATAAACAGATGCTACAAGCAAGCAGACAACCACCTTACTTTCACAATTTATTTCATTTTCTCTCCTGTATATCCAGTATAGTTCTGTCACACAGTACTGCTCTGGGCAAGAGCATGGAACAGTGATTGGGGTTTCACACTTATGACTGGAACATGTAGGTTCAAATCCCAGAGGAGACACTGCTTTGGTATCTTTGAGCTACATACTTCACTAGATATCTATGATAGTAAAATACCCAGCTGTGTATGTACAGTAACTTGTCTCTCCTGCAATACTGTATTTTATAAAGCATGTTATTATCATTATTATTATCTGCACTTAAAAAAGTAAAGTGTTAATAACTGATTTTACCAGCTTGATAAAAACAAACATTCCTTTGGCATGAGGTTAACTTTTTTTTGTAAAGGCATAACTCAAGTGATTTTCAGAAAGAAGAAACGAACCACAAGCTAATTTTGTCACAATTCTGTATATTTCTATGGAAATATTTTAGAACATAGCGATGTCTCATTTATTTGTTTGGCTCACCACCTCTGTTGCCTTCACCTTGTAGAGCCCCTTGTCAAGGGTGAAGACAAATGTGGGTGGCACTTTGTCTTGCCTGATGGCATTAGTTCAGCTGTTTCATTCACACCCACTGTAATTCAGTAAATTCATGGTCAGGTTAGGGACGTAACATATACCTCTAACATCTGAAGGACAGGGCAACACATGAGCATAAATTTACCTGAAAAATGCTATTGTGTCAATAAACTGTGAAAGAAACACTGCACTTCACTGAGTTGAACTATCTGAAGTGGAGTAAATTCCCTAAAGCCCTCTCTTGTATTAAAAATTAAAATGGTTTTATTTAGCATTCCTTTGTGAATACTGTTTGAATTCAAAACTATTTAAATATTAACATATTGGAAAAAGTAATTGAAATATGAACTTTTTTTATTTATTAGAGCTAATGCTGTTTTTTTTTGTTTAAATCCCAATCAGGCCTTCGCCCAAAAAGAACTCTGCGGATGGTAATGTGGACTGGGGAAGAGCAGGGAGGCATTGGAGCGAATCAGTACTACAACCTTCACAAGGCAAGTTCATTTTGACATCGCCCTGCATTATACCAGTTTTCATCCCAAGTGTTTTAGGAGGACTACAGAGGGAGACAGTGCTCAAACTGTCAATATCCATTCTGCATGTACAGGTAGAACTGTGGGGTTAAACAGTTAAATAATAGGGTGAAATCTACATAGGTCTGATTAAACGTTAGAATTTATCTAGAGCACCAAGGTTAGAATCCCTTTTCTAGTTTTCCAATTATTTTTTCCAGTTTCATACAAACTCTCTCTGTGAAGCGACCAGGATGTTATTGACCTACGAAATTGTCCTTCCATCTCATCCATCGTGTTTTGGAACTTTTTCCAACCAGCCCCTGGCCTCACAATGGTATCCCTAACCATCCCTACCCAGAGGCTCAGCTGTGATGTAAAACCTGTTCTAGGTAGTGTCTTGGTGCCTTCCACTTCTTAATGATTGACCTCACAACTCTCAGTGACATACTTTATCATGAGTGTTTGAAATGTTATACCCTTCACCTGATCTATCCCTTTGTCCAATCTTATCCCTGAGTTGTTTTGAAAGCTCCTTTGTCTTATGGTTCAATCTTTGCTTGAAATCCACTACCTGGCTGAGGGATCTTATAGAGATTGGTGAATGTATGTGGAAGTTATGTGAACATAATACTGCATGCGCACAGGGAACACTTTTGTGTAGCCCATTACAAGAAATTTATGTAAATTAGGGTTGCCACAGTTAGTTTTTAATACATATTCAAGTATGACTTTTACATTTTTCTTTTTTTTGTGTTTTGCTTTGTTCGTGTGGAGTAAGTTGAGTTTCTAACACAAATTAATTGGTACATCAAACAGTCACGACTGCAAGCTTTAAAGCAACAAAATGTGAAAACTAATAAAATAAAGGGTCTGCATACTTTTAAAAAGCATTGTGGTTAATGTATATGGAATTAGAACATGTCAAGATACATACTGTTTGAAAGCAATTAAGATTAGATAATGTTTGAATATATACTGTAAATTTAGGAATTTAGTTAGAGATGAAAAGGAATACACTAGAAATACCATCTTTCTGGATCACAGATGTCTGTCTCTTTGTACTGTGAGTCCCAATAACCTGAGATGAAGAAGTTTGTAAATATGAATTCTTTATACTCTTTTGAAGATGACTGAAACATGTCTGCCTGAAGCCTATAACATTTCTCTGTGAAAGCCTCATTACACATCATAACCAGCCTGAACCAACTAAATTGATTGTGTTCAATCCTAGCACATACTGTATATAGCCTTTTAGGTGATTTATTGAAACTGTGTCTGGATATTGGATTATGAAAAACAAACACGCTGCACTTCGATAATAGCCATTTCAAAGACAAATGAGGGCAATATTTTATATGCAGTATATTAAATAGAAGAAATGTGCCATGATTCAGCCAAATAATGGGATTTGTCACTGTGCAAGCTGGAAGAAGGCAAAATGGAAGATTGATTGCTCTGTGTTTGCCACTAAGAAATAAACACAATTTAATGTTCATATTGTTTTCTAGCACCTGAGAGCATTTGTGGCACTTGATAGCATGATATCAGAGAGAATTCCTACTGATTGTTTCAGGTGACTTCACTTTGACAGACTTTAAAAGTTTTGCACATTGATGCGTGTCACCTGTAATGGATTAGTCATGGTTTCTCCTAACCTTTTTTTTTTATTAAAGCAGCACTAATCAATTTCAGAACATATTCACATACAGTAGCATATACTGTACTTCTGAAAAAAAAATGCAACAACCCTCTTAAAGATAACCAGTTAATTATTTTTTTATTTTGAAAGAAGGTGAAGATTTTATTTTACTTACTGCCCAGAATTCTGGCTGTTGTGTTACTACAGTACTGTAGGCTGGGGAATCGATATAACATTTTTCTAATGTGAAAATGAAAATAATTGAATTTCTGTCTGAAGTGAAGTTAAATGTGATTACCTTATTAGGTGACATGTCAATCACAGTTAAATTATTGTGCTGAATAAATAAATAACTGCTTAATTGGTGTAAAGATGCAAGCTTCAGGACTTTAGCTATTGAATAGCCAGAAGTGTTTAATATACTGTAGAGTATATTCGTGTTTGTAATGAAGTTTATCTGATAAAGTATTTCACTCTAAAAGCACCTTGAACTCAACAATTTAAAGAAAAATTAAGAAATATAGATTTATTTCAATCATCTGAAGATTTTTGCCTTGAAGTGATAAAATTCTAGTTAAAGCAAAGCTTAAAATAAGTAATTGAAAAGCTCTGAGTCTACTAAACCACATGAAATGTGTTTGGAAATTAAACCAATCCAAACCACCATGCTTGTAAATATACAGATGTTTTTTTTATAGAAACATTTTTTAAATAGTATCCAACATTCCCAATTACTTCACAAAAAACACAAATACCCAAAAATACCAAAGAATATTTTTTTCTTAGAAACATTCAATATTTAAATTGTTTACAAATGCAACTTTACATATGTTGGTGCCCAATGTAAAATGTTTATATATAAGAGTTTGGAAAGTGAAGGAAATCTGTAACTGGTTATCCTGTGTAAAACATACTTAGCTATCCAGGTCGTGTTCTGGTAATGATTTTAATAAAAACACAAATATTGATGCTTTAACTGTTTTATATATTTAAATACTACATAATACACGTTTTCTCTTTGCGATATGCATTGTACACCAGAGCTTCTTTAATACTCTGGTTCTTTCCACATTCCAAAAATGTACTGGTAGGTTAGGAGGCTTCTGGGAAAATTGGCCCTGGGTGTGAGTCTGTACAGTATTTGTGTCTGTGTGTGGCCCTGTGTTGGACTGCCATCACATCTAGGGTGAACCACGTCTTGCACTCCTTGCTTGCCAGGTTAGGCTCCAAAATCCCCTACAATCCTGAACTGGAATAAGTGATTTGAAAATGGATGGGTGGACTTTGCTCCTCATGCCTTCTGGAGTCTGTATGTTTTTTCTTTGTTAACCTATATGATCAAAATACTCAAAAATGGATTAAAACCATTAGTGATTTATTATCTTGTGATATATATATTTTTTTAAATAAGGAAACTAATCCAATCTTTTTGCAAGAAAAATCTATCTGTATGATGCATAGTAGTTAAATTATTCTGTGCTAGGACCTCAAGGTTATTATGGATCAGTTAGGATAAGTTATCATTCATACAAACCCAAAAGGATCTTAAGTTGATTTCATTAGGACTTATGTTCTGGGAGAAACTTTCACCATAGTTATTATACAGTACTTCCTGATTTGTATTATCATTCTCCATAATGCCTTGGTGCCCTGTAAGTTAAAGAGAAGCTTAATTAAAAGCGTGTTTTACCATTATGAAGGTTTTTTTTATTTAAAACGATCAAGTGTCATGATATTGAGAGACATAGTGAATCACCTAGTGTCAATAGTGTGCATTGTCAGTGATTAAGTCACCCACTGCAAAAAATATTATGGAAGGTAGTACTATATTCATTACTGTGTGCTATTATCAGAAGTGCAATTGTACATTGATTGACAAACCTATGTCAAATTTTACTACCATGCTGACTTATCACTGAGAACGTTCTGTAGGAAAATAAATCTTTGCCAGCATGAAAACAAGACGTGCATGGCTTGCCAAGATTTCAGGCAAATATTGTGGACTCCAGTGATTCATTCTGAAACAGCATTGTCTCAAAAAAAACAGAAACTATTTAGCAACGACTTACAGGCTCTCTTTAACCTTGCAATAACCTTATTTGCACAAAAACCTCCTCTCTTCATTCCAGTTTAATGTGAAGCACCTCATACCCTCTATGACCATAAATACCCAAAACCTTTACATTCGTGCCCAAAATACATCCAGGTCAATTTGAATGCCAGTCTTGAGTGACTAGTGTGGTTTTATATTATATTCCTTTTCTATTGTGTAAAATATACATATACTTCAAATATACAAAAATTGATATGTTGTGTGTGCTATTGTGTGATCCATCTTCATTGAATGATATCATAAGCTTACAAAGACTTCTTAAAAACTCCTAAATTGCAAGAATTGATATTCTTGGTGAAAACTGATGTCATTTGGAAGGCAGTTGGTGTACCTGGCCATATTGCACTCCTGTGGAGAATGCAGCTGAAACCATTTGGCTAAGAGTCCTGAAAAATCAGTCAGCCTTTTCGTGTGGTCTTCCTGTTTATTACAACCACATGGCATTTAAACCCCTATTCAAAGAGACTCATTATGCCATAGCTGTCATTCCCAGGGACAGGAATTCATATGTTTTTTAACCTTTTCTCTAGCAGTAGTCAGCTAATTGAACAAGTAATAGTAATGTAATTTCCACTTAGTGTCAAATGTTTGTAAATATGTGTACCTCCTTTATTCCAAAATGATTTGATGTACAGTTACAAATACACAATATTGAAGTCATATTTATTGACAAGTGACATGACATCCTATTACAATACATTACAATTTCTGAACCACATAAAATTGTTTAAAACATTTAAAGGCTTATTTAATACTGAATGGCTGCAGTTTAATTAAAGTATTTTTTAATTATTTTACGTTGGTGTATCATGCTTGTCAACAAAAATATGAGTTTTGTTAGTATTTCGAACAGATTTGATGAGATTTCAGAAATATTGTACCTTACCAGGATCTAAAAGATTTTATCTTCTCTGAGGAACTCTATTTTCAAATAAAGAAAAGGCATTTTCAGACTATGACTCTTGAGGTTTGTTGCACTGGGCTTCCATGTTTTATTTCTTTAAATAGTATGAATGCAGATGTGGCTTCTGTATGATTACATATTTGTTTTTATAATGGTCAACATGCAGTATTTGATATGTACTGTGTAATAAGAATTAAATATAATGATAGGATGGAAACACTTTTCATTTTCCAAGGTCTTAGTGTAGTGCTTTTCTTTTAATATGCAACTGATTCAAAATGAAATGTGGACTTTTGCTCTGTTGAGCCGTTTTACATTTTAAGGACAGTACTGACACATATTTGTCTTTATAGATTACGTTTATGTCAGTGTGGAATAAAGTAAAAAGATAATCTCCTTGTCTGGTCATTTGGTTTGGAAAAACTAGCCTTATTAATGTTCATGGTCAGTTTATCATTTTGAGAGGTTCTTTTTGTTCAGAACTCTATCCAGCCAAATAAATGGGAACCTTGAGATTCCACCAGCAAAAAAATGAATAATAGCTCATATAAGTCTTGAGAATAAAATGGCCTGTGAAAGGAAGCTGGCTACTGTATATTCAAATTTAACATTTAAACTGATGAGATAGCTAACATTCTAATTAGTCCCTGTAACATCCAGGTATACAGTACACGTTTGAACAAAAAGATTACTGGCTTAAATGTATTTTTCAATTGCTGCAGTTCATGTTCAAAGATCCAGAGGAGCACCATCTTTGTTGCATCTTGGTGTTCATATTTATAGTATATATGGTATTCTAGGTGAATTATCATTTTCAAATCTTTCCCTGGCTGTATGGATCGTAATGATCCAGTATAGTAACAGGGAAGCTATACTCTGAAAGGTGCTTTCCCATGGATGAGTTGTAAAACAAAGGTCCTGACTCTCTGTGATCATTAAAAATCTCAGGGTGTTTCTTGAAAAGAGTAAGGGTGTTACCCTGGCATCCTGGTCAAATCTCCAGTTGGCCTTTACCAATCATGGCCTCCTAATAATCCTCATCTGTGAATTGGCTTCATTACACCGCTCTCCTCCCCACTGATAGTTGGTGTGTGGTGAGTGTACTGGCTCTTCAGTATCTGAAAATAATCCGTTAAAGAGCATATATTTGATCATAATGTGATACTGCATATGAATGTTTCTTAAAAATGCTAAATGAGGACTTGCTCACAGAATACTTTTTTAAAGAAAAAAAAAGTATGAGTGCATACAGTATGTCATTAGATTGCTATTACAAGTATCTACAGTAACAACCACATTCTGTATTTTTTTGCCCTGTCTTTTTCCATCCATCTCTTATTTAAAACGTGCAGATTAATCTCTGTTTTCACCACCAAATGCATGACTTCAATTCAGCTCTATGCTGTTTACAGTATTATAGAAATTACTCTCTATAAGGAGGCTCTTGGTAGAGGGGTGACAGGATACAACTAAAAATGGACCTAGAGATTTATGAGAAAACTGTAAGAAACATTTTTCCTTCTCTCTGCCCATTGTTTCTTTCCTGCCCTAAAGTCTGTTTTTTTTTTTAAATAGTTGGCCATGTACATGCATAGCAAACAAGAGCAGTCAACATTACAATTTTGGCACTAACTGTTCTGGGATTAAACCCAATCTCATATTTGTCTAGACAGAATTAAAAGAAACTGTCATGCTCTCTTCAGATATGAGCCGAAAACCAGAAATTACAAAGAGCCAGCTTCAGCCAGAGTTAATGTCCCCAGAAGGGAGAATTATAATGTGTCTATTTTCAGCTGGTTGCTGAATTGAATTTTTAAACTGAAGCACTGGGAAAATCTCCTGGCTCTGTATTCAAAATGCTTATATGCTTAATTCTCAATGGGATATAGGTAACTAAGTGTTAAGAATACACAGCTGCATTTTCAAAAAAATATCCTTAAACCCCACAATGTCAGGAGTTAACAGTAGGTAGTGTTAACTCTTTTGAAACCAAAAGTTTGTGAGGAAACTACTTTTGAAAGACAGGCATAAATGGCAGTTAACAAAGAAAGATTTAGTTCCATCATGAGCAAATCATTGTCAACATTGCCATAGATGTTGGTTCATTAAATTTAATTTTGTTTCTGTAATGTCCCACAGTTGACTTAAGCCCTGTCTTTAATGGACAGTCCATTGAAGAGTGCAAAGTCTTTATATAATTATTTTTGGATTCTTGTGCTCAGATTCCTTCTGAAATTTTCATATCTGATGTCATTTTGTCTGTTTCTTTTTGTATGCAGGTGAACATCTCAAATTTTGACCTAGTAATGGAATCTGACACTGGCACCTTTACTCCCCTTGGAATTGAGTTTACTGGTAACGGTGAATCCAGGGCAATCATGAAGGAGGTCATGAAACTGCTCCAGCCCATTAATGTCACTGAACTAGCTGACCGCGGGGAGGGAACTGACATTAACATGTGGATGGAAGCTGGTGTACCAGGTAGGACAGAATAACTTAAAAAAAAAAAAAGATGTTGTTCAGACTATTCCACATATCTGCGAGGACGATGCGGAAGATGACAAAATGTCTTGGTGAACTCGTATTGGCAAGCAAAGCAAAGAATAATGTTGTTTCCTTAAAGCACAGCTCTGAAGAATAGGCATTTTGTAATGCTTCTTATACCTCATGGACTGCCTCATAAGTTGTGTTAGTCAAAAAGACATACTTAGCATGAATATATCCACACCTTAACACAGAATGCTTCCCCACTGTCCATGTGCTCAAGACTGGCACACACTCTCCATGTGATATGATCTACTAACTAAAGACCATGAGGTACATGAGGTGGTGCCTTTTAAACATCATCGAATTAAGTTTCACTGAATTATATAGGGAGAGTCAACTTGAGCTATATCATTTTTAAAGGAGCAGTCTATAGTAGTAATTTCATTATTTATACTTAACTGTGTTAACTGTTATATGAACTCTTCTAGAAAGTCTGGAAGTGAGAATGATTATTTAATTCAGAATCACCTGCTAATTTTTCACAATACTCTACAATGAATAACAGAAGGTTATTTGGGGTCAATTTTGGAGGTTTGAAGTGTGAGTTTGAGAGGAAAAAAAACTCTAGGAGTAGAATCTGATCCTAATGAAAATGCAGACATAAAGATTGATCCAGGGGTCCACAGCAGGAACTATGGTTCCACTGGAAGGGATGTGCTGCCTGTGATATAAATAAATAGCTTCCTGAATGAATGGGTATTGGAAAATGATATTTATGTACTGTAGTCATCAAGGTTTATTTAATAGATTAAAACATCCAGAGGTGTCTACATCAAAGAAAACAATTATAATCCAATAATCTGAGTTGTAATGATTAAGTAATCCTTTTTTATGGGACTTCCTGTTGCTTGCAACTAAGATAACATCTTACCACATCCAGGTCACACTGTTCTTTAGATATGTATGTGTTACGGTGCCCTTTATCCTATAGGGGCATCTACAGTATCCTCTAAGATCATGAGTGATAAAACCTAGAAAGAAGTTGCTTACATCACAAGACCCAAATGTAGACACCCTACTTTTGTGATGACCCATAAGGTGAACTGCCTTTAATGTTCTCTCTGTAGGATTTTACAGCGAATTGCCTCAGGTTCTCTGTAAAAAACAATTTCTTTGCTCATGTTATATCTATCTCTGCCACTCTGGGGAACATTCATTCTCTTGAATTCACAATTGGTGTGGTTCAAAACTGCAGAATCTTGTTGTTTTTTTTTTCATTGGTCTGGCAGTGAGAGTCACAGTATTTCTCTCCGCTAGTCAGTTTTGTGGAAATAGTTTTTAAATTTTGTTAATGCTTCTTGAATTCTGAATTTGACTGAATTTACATGTACTTAAATGGTTGGGGGTTCACAGATTATTGGATAATTCAGCATGTTTGTTATTCCTTTTGGGATCTGATCACATTTCATCCTGAATACTCTCAAATTATGTCAAGCAGTAACTCTGTTGGTTACTGATATTCTATTACATACAGATGCGGCCATTCGGAATGCATGTCAAAACTCTTGTCCACAGCAAGGTATCTGTGCCATACCATGGTACAATTCAACATGCTGAATTTATTTTTCACTAAACAAAGATTGATAGGTGGCGCTTGTGGTGTATTAAATGTTAGTGAAACAGTAGCTTTATTTAATCTATTGTGCATCAGTATAGGCTGTATAGGCCGCAAAGGAACAAGTAAAGTTTTATTCCATGCAGAGAAAATGAAGAAAAAACAACATTTCGGCTCTGGGGCCTTCTTCAAGTTATTCCCACTGACTTAAGTAACAGTAACGGTGTATATAAACAATAAATAAAATGACTGATGTTTTAATTGCTTGCAGAGAAAGTGAAACCAAATGGTGTTTGGTATACTGCGGCACTTTTTGTGGTTTACTGCTCGACACTTTGTACACATTAAATGGCTGCATCTGTACTGTACTGTATGTTCCGTTCTCAGGGAGTAGTTTGTATTTTATGGCTATGTTCTTTAAATCAATTCAGTCATTTATTTCAAAGATTTCAAAATTAACATTACAAGGCCATTTTGCTGTCTTGCACAGTCAATAAAACAGACTGGAGTTTTTAGATTTTCTTTTACAGACCTCTGCTTTTTACACTTCTCTACCAGCTTCTCCTTCATTTGGACACTCTTTCTCTCCTGTTCTGTGTCCATGCTCACCTACAGTACTATTGATTGTGCTTTACAATACAGTATATCCTGGCTACCTTTCCCTCTCTTCGTAACACATTGAGAAGGGTCTACAGCTGAAATGTGTTTACGTTTCCTACTTTTCAGTGTGGAATTAAACTTTACTTGTTCCTATATTATTATCATTGGTGTAAACAACTAAAACTTGGTTTTGTTAGTGATGGTGAGACATAATAGAATCAATTCATACTTTTTGTCACTCGGCACTCCTACATATTTCCTCTCCACTATGTGGATTTCATAAGGCTTAAATTTTTAGAATTTCTATCCTTATTATAGAAGGAGACTGTGATGAAATTTATAATTAGGCTTTTCATATTTTTTTTCTGCAATTGATCTGGCGTCATGTCCAGTGCATATCCCGTGGTGCTTGTGGGGATAGGATCTGCCTCCTCCATGATCCTTTGTTGGATAAAGCAGTTAGAAAACGGATGGATAGATAATTCTATTTACCACAACAATGGATGAATCCAGTATTTATTTTTTAAGGAATTACAGTAACTTCTGTCTTTCATTGCTTCTTTATCAGGTGAGGCAATAAATGTGTGAATTGCCGTTTATGGATCTTTGAATTTTGGTACACTCAGAAATGTTTCATTTAACAGTACATTTTAAAATATTCATGATTAGTTAATAAAATCCCTAATTATCCATATTCCAATTGAATAACTTTAGCAATTATCACATTCCACCATTTAGCTGATGTTTTTATTCAAGACAATTTAAAATACTTTATAGGGTCCATTCATACTATTTTGGGTAAAGCAAAGTTAAAGACCCAGACATGTAAATAAAAAGTCTTCACTTAAAATGCAGACAGCATAACATAAAATGTGTTATAATCTCTTTTTAAGCACCAATTATAAATACAAAACAACAAAAGAGATAGTTTAACATACTGACTCATCAGTTATGTAGTCATTTGTAACATGGTTAAGAATTTTGCAATAAAATATTATACAAAATATTTTTCCTCCATCTACATGGAGCACATTTCTACCAAATTCTTTATTTCTGCCCTCTGTGTTAACTGATAATACCAACATTTATCATCAATTCTAGAAATAGAAGGCAACTTTGGAAAAAGTGATAGCAGTACCAGCATTTTTATTGAGAACACTCCTACTACTCTCTCTATACTGTATATATTATTAAACCTGGGATTTCACCCATTCCCTTTAGTATACAGTAGCTCAACCCTCAAAGGAGGCAATAAGGAAAAGTGTATAATATTTGGTGCAGACTATGGTATTCTTATGGCTGCAATCATTTCCAGATATTGTTTTATTGGTAAAATGTAAAGGTACTGTACAACCCAAAACACATCTTTTCTAAAAGTAACATTAGAAGTATTAACAAATATGGAATCTAACATCCAGGTATTAATATTTAATATTTTATGTCACTGGGGATGAATTTTGCATTCCACCAGAGCATTTGCATGTTAGTAAGTGATTCAGTAAGGAATCCTTAAAAGCCATTGGATTATTTTATATGCTTCAGATATGCTGAATTCTATTTCTGGGCAGATGGTAAATCATACATGGACATAATATTTATTAATCAGTAATATTTTGTTTTGTAATTGTCTTTAACAACCAGTAGTTCTAAAAGTTTGAAAATTCATTAAATAGGAATCTTTAAAAATGTTATTTCAGCCATTCTGTTATTTCAGAAACTCTTCAAAGAAAGGATCTTTCCTTGCACAATCAACAGTTTGTTTTCTTCGGGAGATTTAGGGAACATAATACAGGAAGTAGCTGTCATGTATGGAAAAAACATTAAGTCACTATCCAGGCACTATAATTAGGCCTTAGGGAAAATATAAAACTGCAGAAATGATTTCAGATGCCTGTAAGACTCAGGAGGTGGTCTGTCTGTTTGTCATTGAAAGCTTTGGATCCGACTCTTGGTCTGACCAATGATATAGAATGAAAGTAACTTTAGAATGTTGGGATTGATGCCACATGAAAGTCGTACTGTTTTAAGTTTCTTATAATGAAAAATTATATATTGGAAAATATCTAGCTATCAGTATAAATTCCTTATTGATAAGTACAATTTTAATCTGTTTATGAAATACTTTCTGGGCCTGAGAGCTTTAACCACTGGAAATAGTGAATGAGGATGATTCCATTTATAAAGTTCAGGAATGTGGTCCCATGATAAACAGACGTCTGTACATGCTGTGTTTGCAAGTGTTTAATCTTTTCTGCATGACCACCCTGTTGCAGCAGTAAAGACTTTATGGAGCTGATTATGCTTTGAATGCACTGATTCTAGAGTTACAGATATGCCAACTGATAGCTGGTATTGTTCAAAGCCTAAGAAACTAACAAAAATGCTAACAGTAGAAAACTGGGCATTAGGTGATTGCACATTTAGGTTTTTTAGGTGATGGGTAAATGGGAATAATGACAACCTATCACTTAGATTTTACAATGCTTTTGCCAGACTGCTGTTGTAATATTATTGATGTTTGAGTTACAAGTAGGTCAAGTCTGATGGATAATGAAAAAAGGCTTATAGGAAAATATTGATTTGTCTGTCCACCCTTCTATTCATCAATATTTGCATTGATATAATACCTCACAAAACTATTTATTTTTAAAATGTTAAATGTGAAATAACAAATAACAAATGTGAAATAAGCAACAAATTACATATTATACTTTATTTATTCTGGGAAACTAGAATACATTTTTATTTAACACATTTTCAGAGATTATTCAAGGGAAAA